CAGGCTACCATTTTCTACAACAATCTAAACCAATAACGGTCAAAGCAAATGGGCGGTAGATAAGGATCAAGGGAATTCAGGATTGCCTGGAGTTAGACCTCTTGTGAGCACGAAGAGACGTGAGACATGCTTGACTCCTCCCTCGGGCTGAGCCAGGTCGTCTCCTATATTTGTTTTTATTTTTTGAAATCTCTGGGAAAAAAATATAAAACTAGCTAACTCAACCAGCCATCAACAAGACAACCAGTAACACTCTCCCCTATTTATCCTAATCTCTGCTTCTCTCTTTCTTTCAATCATTTCATTGGTGAACTGATGGTTTTACGTGAAAGTTAACTGAATGGCTGGTAGCATTTTGTCTCAGGCTTTAATGAAGAAAACCTATGGAACTTTCCATATTTATTTATTTTTATTTATTTATTTTATTTGTCAATTGCTTACAAGATAATAGGTATAAATAAAAACATAGTTATGAATACATGGATACATATAAGAAAAAAATAAATAAATAAACGAAACAATAGGACAGGGACGGTAGGCACATTGGTGAGCTTATGCATGCCCCCTACAGACCTCTTAGGAAAGGTGTGAGGTCAATAGTAGACAGTCTAAGGTTAAAGTTTTTGGGGTTTGGGGAAAAAACCACAGAGTCAGGTAGAGCAGGGGTCCCCAACCACCAGTCCGTGGACCGGTCCCGGTCCGTGGAACAAGTCCTACCGGGCCGCTGGCTTGCTGGGCGCCGCCATCTTTTTTTGATGAAAAAGTGCTTCCGGTGAGCTTTTCCGGGTAGAAAGCTCACCGGAAGCACTTTTTCATCAAAAAAAGATGGCGGCACCCAGCTAATGCCGGTACCGGGCCGCGCCATAAAAAAGGTTGGGGATACCGGGCCGCGGCGTAAAAAAGGTTGGGGATCACTGAGGTAGAGTATTCCAGACATTGACCACTCTGTTGCTGAAGTTGTATTTCCTGCAATCAATTGCAGGAAATTAACCTGGTGCGATTAACCTTGAGTTTGTATCTATTGTTTGCTCTTGTGTTGTTATGGTTGAAGCTGAAGTATTTATTGACAGGTAGCTCATTGCAATGTATGATTTTATATACTATACTTAGATCGGACCAAAAGTGGTGTAGCTCTAAATTTTCTAGATCTAGAATTTCGAGTCTGGTGGCATAAGGTATTCTGCAACGAGTAGAGGAATAAAGAACTCTTCTTGTGAAATATTTCTGGACTTTCTCAACTGTGTTAATATCAGATACATAATGTGGGTTCCAGACTGATGAGCTGTATTCAAGTATTGGTCTAGCAAATGTTTTGTATGCTCTAGTTATTAGTGTAATATTACCAGAGAAAAAGCTACGTAAGATTAGGTTAACAACTCTTAACACCTTTTTGGCTATGTAGTTACAGTGGGCTCTAGCACTTAGGTCATTTGAGATGAGTATTCCAAGATCCTTGACAGAGTTTGGATCATCAACAAGGTCTTCACTATTCAGCCTGTATTTTATTTTCTGTTTTTTTTTTTGCCAATATGTAGGACAGGGCATTTATTTGTTGAGATTTGAAGTTGCCATTTATTTGACCATTCTGATACATAGTCAAGGTCTTTTTGGAGGGTTGTAGTATTGTCTGTGGTGTTGAATAGCTTTACATCATCAGCAAAGAGAACGCAGTTGCTCTTGATATGATCACAGAGGTCATTTATGTAGAGTATGAAAAGAGTTGGTCCGAGAACACTGCCTTGGGGGACACCACTGTTGACAGGTACAAAATTTGATAGGACACTCCCAATTTTGACCATTTATTGTCTGCTTGACAGGAATGCTTCTATCCAGTAATGCAGGTGTCTAGAGATACTGTAAGATTTCAGTTTTAGGAGTAGTTTGTCGTGTACCACTGAATCAAAGGCTTTACAGAAGTCTATGTAGATTGCGTCTATTGCTTTGCCCTGATTGAGTTGTGTAGTCCATATGTTTTTGCAGTGTAAGAGTTGCAGATTGCAGGATAGTTTTTTCTGAAACCAAATTGTTTATTAGAGAGTAGGTTGTTTGTCTCTAAGTGGAGGATAATGGATTGGTTAATAATTGACTCCATGAATTTACAGGTGATGCAGCATAAGGAGATTGGTCTGTAATTTTCAATGAGGCTGGAGTCTCCCTTTTTGAAGATGGGGATGACTGTGGCTTGTGACCATAGTTTTGGCAAGGAGCTGGTCCTGAAAGATTTTTCAAAGATTATGCTTAGAGGTTTCAGCTATGGCAGTGGGTAGCTTTTTAAAGAAGTAGGCACATATTCCATCCAGTCCAATAGATAGAGATGGTTTTAGATTGCGCAGTGCTTTTTCAACATTGTCTTCTGTAAAATCGATACATATTAGATCATTGTAGTTGTCTGTGGTTTGACTAGGAAATACTGAGCATGATCCATTGCTGTTTACAAATACGGAGCCAAAGAATGTGTTAAAGAGGTTGGCTTTAATAGTGTCTTCGTTGCAGTCTTTACCATTAGGTCCTTTCAGGGGTGGGGTGGACCTTGAGTCTTTTAGTTTGTTGTTTACAAAATTATAGAAAGCACAGATGGAATTGGTGCATATAAGGTTTTCTTCTTGTTTAATGTGATAATTGTTGGTGCATTCAGTTTTTATCTGGTGGCATAAATTTTTGTATTGGCTTTTGAAGTTGACAACGTGACCAGATTTGTTTTTCCGCCAAAGTGATTTCTTTTTGGATTGAAGCTTCCTTATTGTTTTGGGTAATTTGTTTTTTCTGGTTTTGGGAGTTGTTAATGGTACATATAGTTTGATGACTCTTTTGACTTCAAGTAAAAAATATGTTGTAATGGTCTTCTACAGTATTGCATCCAGAGAATAGAAATTGCCAGTCAAGGGATGAGAGATCATTGTTTATAAGATTATAGTTGCCTTTTTTGAAGTTATAATTGGGGATTCCATCGTTGTGATGATTTTTGTGTGGAAGTATGTTGAGACAAAAGTCAATCATGTTGTGGTCACTGTTGGAAAAAGGTTCTTTAATTTGTATTCCGTAAATTGAATTCAAACTATTGCAGAAGATGATTGTTGTTGGTTATTAGTTGTTCTAGTCCCAGATTTGTTACTGCATTGTAGAAGGTTCAGTTGTACATTCGTTAAGGGTCCAGTTAATATGAGGTAGATTGAAGTCACCAAGAAAGATAAAAGTGTGTGGGCAGGATGCTGCCCATGTTAGTAGTGAATTTAGCTTGTTTGCATGTTTGATGTCATAATCAGGGGCTCTGTAACATAGTAAGAACCGAAATGTGATATTTAAGGACAGTTCACAGACAATGGTCTCAGGAATAGCAAGCTCCTGGGTAACTTGGATGCTTTTTAGATGTAGGGACTTTTTATAGAAGATAGCAACACCACCTACTATATGGTACTCTGTATAAATATATGAACACAATACAGAAGCCTGATGATGGCAGATGAGATTCTGCCGAAACATCGCTACAACTTTAAAAGCACAACTATAATGACATGGGAAAACACCTGAACAAAGCTGAATACCATACATATAAATACCCACAAAAACTTAAGAAAACACACACACACACACACACACACACACACACACGGTATTCAGCTTTGTTCGGGTATTTTCCCACATCATTATAGTTGTGCTTTTAAAGTTATAGCAACATTTCGGCAGAATCTCATCTGCCATCCTCAGTCTTCTGTATTGTGTTCGTCTGTAAGTACCCGCAAAAACTTAAGAAAACAAATATATATATATATATATGGTACCTACTATATTCTGCTATATGGAAAGAGTGCGCCTTTCATTTTATTTTCATTATCTAAATATGGATAAAGTTCAGAGTGGCGTTTACTCCTAAGAAAAGGTAATATCTCTCTCCCGCTCCCCCATGGGAAATAGGGATGTTTGCAACTAAAAAAAATCAGCATTTGTGGACTGATGAGAGTGTTTTATTTTTAATGAGTGTAAATGATACCAATGAACTAAGCGCTGTTTGTGCAACATTGTTGCAAGGCACATTTTAAAATACAATAAGAGTATATTACTTTACAATGATTTAGTTCAGGAATTTATGCACTCAAATGAATGTGAGAGCCTTGGGTACAATTCATACAGTATATTGCCTCTCAGAAGACTTTATGTAAATGCTTTAAGATTCAACTGGGAGTTCATATGGTCAGATAGATTAAAATTTGTCCAGCCCTTACTTTTTATGTTCATTAAACTTTATACTCTTTGGATGTTTCGCCTAACTTTTATGTTTGGGGCCTTAAAGTATATTGAGGAAAGGAAACAAGGATCCAAGTGAAAATTCCTAACACTTCTGAAATATATCTTTGGGAAAATATTTAAGAATCGCTTTTTAAAATAACTTCAAGGATAACTGGCTGCATGGTTGAATTATCAAATTTTCTGGGTGACTTGCGTTTGTTACTAGTGTATAAGTGGACGATGTGTGCTTTTATCAATTAATAACAATCTGTGCTCTTTTATCTCCAACCGAAGAATCATTATCCCTGTCTAGAGTTAGTTGTGTGTTTTGTCTTCGATCTACAGTAGACATATAAACTCTTAGGTGCTTCCACTGAAGTTATTGATGTGTTGATGGAGCTTTTTTTCTGTTCTTTGTTCTGCCTGTGACAATTTCTTTCTTTTATGGTCTGCCTCCTAGAAGCTTTTATGACCGATGTAGGGAGGGCTGGATGAGGAGCGGCTTTCGAGGACTTTTTCAGAAGTTCTGAAAATGTTGGTAAACAATTCGATGAAGGTGTCAAAAAGGGTTTCATCCACTGTAAAAAAAAAAAAAAAAGGCCAATGGCATGCTGGGGATAATAAAAAACGGTGTTGAAAGTAGAGATGGCCAATATCAGTGTTGAAAGTTAGAAATGGCCAATATTGTAATGCTTTTATATAAATCAAGGGTGCGACTGGGAATATTGTGTGCAGTTCTAGTTGCCTCATCACAAAAGTAGATGTAGTACAGCTAGAAAATGTACAGAGCAATTCAGAAGATCGAAAGAACAGAGTTGCTTCCACCTGAAGAAAGGTGGAATGTGGAAGGTGTATGCGGAAAGCCACAGACAAAAATTTATAAAGTTTGTACCTGAAGATAAAATGAAAAGAATGTCATAAACTTCAGTAATCTTTCTCCCCTCCTCACCCCACAAATTTATTTCATCAATGATCAGAACAATAAAAGAATAGGTTAGCAAAATTTTATTATCATAATACAACATAATAAAAAAAATATTTTAAAACCATATGTTACATTCTAATGATGCAACATGTGACAGAACTTATCCTGAGCAAGTATTTATTCATCATTACAACTTAGGTACATTATAGATGAAATTGGCTTATTATTTGCTAATGTGAAAGCAAAATTAAATTTATCTGTTTGCCTTGTTGCATTCTAACAAGAGAGAGACCAACAACTACTTTGATAACTTGTGTAATATAAAAAAAATGCTGGGTTCTTTCTATCAAATTTGGATCACATTTTCTTCTGCAAAAGGGAATTTTAGCTGATCTACCACCAAGAAAACCTAATGTGAATGGCCTCTTTGCAGAGACCCTGAGCCAACAGGTTATATTTCTCATTTACTTTCTAATACCAGTTTTAGCTATGGACACATGGGCTTGTTAGGTACTGCAAAAGTTGTAGCGAAAAATAAGTTTGAAATTTTTAATTACTGCAGAAATATAAGTTTGCCACAGTTCCCTTTGATATCACATGATACGTAGTTCTTGAGCAAAGAAATAGCAAACAAAATACAGACCCTTCTAATGCAGGGAGAAGGATGGTGCAAAATCTTTTAAAATGTTAAATATTTTGAGCCCATCATGACTTGTCCTAACCTTTCCAGAGGGATTTAATGCTCGGGAATAAGCTCTGTGTTTTGTCTCCCCAAGTGACTGCCTTCAGCTACCGTTTCATTGCTCTTGAATCCTATGGTCCTTCAGAATAATTGATACCTCTATTTTTTAAAGTCCATCCCTGCTGTATCAAGAAGTGGCAGGTTAGACAATCAGTGGTTTTTCAGGACTTTGGGAAGGAGTTAAGGTTAGGATGTGATTGGACAGCTACTTGTCTGAAATGGTATAGGCAATGGTGGGATTCAAAAATTTTTTTTACTATTGGTTCTGTGGGCATGGCTTGGTAGACGTGGCAGGGGAAGGATACTGCAAAATCCCATTCCCTCCCCACACCACCAACCTGCTTTCCAATTGTGCAGGGCAACCAAAGAAGACCCAGCCGATCAACTGGGACTTGAGAGGCAGAGCATAGACGGGCGCGGGGCCAGTCAGAGGTGCTATTTGACAGTTCTCCAAACTACTCAAAATTTCCACTACTGGTCAGAACCTGCTGAATACCACCTCTGGGTATAGGGTCTCATGTCTGAGCAGGAGGTTGGAGTAAAAGACCTCCGTGGTCTCTCTAGGTCTATTCTGACTGACACTATACCCACAGTGGTTAACATCATGCTACTGCAGCAGAGCCTTAATCTCTTATCGCCTAACCACTGGTGCAAGAGGAAAGGCATATTTTGTACATAAAAAGAAAGACCTTTTTAAGCTCTTCTCCTATAAGAAAGGGCAAGTGCAAATGTTGCCTTTTGTTATTTTCAGATCCAAAGTAACAGAGGAAAAATAATAAACGATGCCTCTGATCCATTGGCTTGCAAAATCCACATTAAAATTGCAGAAGGCTTGTTTCTTAACAAGTTGCTGCTTTCGTGCATTTCACCCGAGCCTTGGCTTTTTGTAAAGGTTAAAGCTTTGGTCCATATTGTTCTTTTGAAGTCTGTTTCTTAAGTGGCCGGATGGCTCACTGTGTGCTGCCTTTTATTTGTTTCCCTTAACTTAAAAAAAAAAATAGGTTGGGAAGCAGCAATGCTGCTTTAATTCTGCTTTCTGTTAAAAAAAATGGCACCATTTCAAAGATTTGGTTATGTTTTTGCTCTCTCTCCAGCTAGGCAGGCTGTGCTGGGTCAGTGGTCTGCGTGAGTTATTTATTTTGATTCCTACCGTTCGTCAGTTATGAGACATTATTGGGTTGCAAAGTACTTCTTGGCAATTCTGCAAAACAGGTCATTTCCATTTTGCTGTTCTTCAGTTGCATCCAACTCTACATGGCCTCATGACCATTATTTCACCAGGATTGTCCATTGGCAACTGTCTTCCAATATTTGAGGGGCTGCCACAGAGAGGAGGGAGTCAAACTATTTTCTAAAGCGCCTGTAGGCCAGACAAGGAATAATGGATGGAAACTGAACAAGGAGAGATTCAACCTGGAAATAAGGAGACACTTTCCGACAGTGAGAACAATCAACCAATGGAACAGCTTGCCCTCAGAAGTTGTGGGAGCGCCATCACTTGAGACTTTCAAGAAGAGATTGGACTGCCATTTTTTCAGAAATGGTGTAGGGCCTCCCGCTTGGGCGGGGGGTTGGACTAGATGACCTACAAGGTCCCTTCCAACTCTGATTATCTGTTATCTGTTAAGTTCTGGTAAGCGTATACAACTGTATGTTGACAGCAATAGTATCTAGCCAACTTGTTCTTCGTGAAAATCCTTTTTGGTTGATGACCTGAATTCTTTGTAGGCATTTTAGTTTTTTTGCAATAACCCTTGCCTTCAAACTGTATAGCCAAAATATTCCAACTCTAGGTTGCTTATTAGTATTTTCAGTTCTTGTGGTCCAAGAAGATCCAGTTATAGGAACAGGAAATCGGAGTAAAGTCAGGAAAGTTAACATTATACCATGTTCAGTTCAGAGCATAGGAAGGCTTGCTTAGACAGTTGTTTGATCTGCTTAGCTTGGAACTGTCTTCGTGAATTTGTTAGCATTTTTGTTGGAATTCAGATAGAAGTATTTCTTAAGTCTACTTTATGATGCAAAGAATCAAATTTAGGATAAACTCTATGTTATTTCATTGGTATTTGGTGCTTTGTTAGAAGGGGTAAAGTGGTACTAAAATTACGGAATGTCTTTGTGATTTGCTATGCTTTGTGTCAAGCAACAGAGGTGATGCATATGTCTCTAAGTAAAGCATAGAAAAGCTAGTTCTTACCAGTGGGGAAGATATGGATTCTATTATGACATGTATTGCACTATTTATTTTCATTTAAAGAATTTGCAGTCTCCCTTTCAACATCTTGCTCTGCAGTATTTTAAGACAACCATAAGGTTTCTCTAAAACAAATTGTTGCCAAAATAAACGAAGATAAAATGAAACGAACCATTACGCTACCAGATTATAAAAGAGATGTAAAAAAAAAAGTGTTCAACAAATGACATAAAAGACAGCATTCAATTCAATAGGGTAGGTCCTTACCTATCATTCAAATGTTACCAAGGCAACTACCAAAGTGAAGCATTTTCTTAGATCTGGATCCTTGGCTCCTGTTTTTTTTTTTTTAAACTGGACAGGTCACTATCATGGTAAATGTTCTTCAAGTAGGAGTTTTTTTGTAAGGACAAACAAAGTTTGTGAAATATTTACATGGCCTGACCCTCCCAATGCTAACAAAACAGGAGACATCCAGATGTGGAACATCATCATGATGAGGAACATCATTCCAGAGAGCAGTCATTGGGACAGAGAAGAGTGTGCCAACTTTGTGAACGAAACGGATTCTGTACCAATCACGGCAGATTTGATTTCTAGAAAGGCAAAACTGGTTAAAAGTTCTAACGAAACTGCTAATTACCAAGAGTTAGGCAGCCATACTGATCAGATCAGATCAATAAATAGATATTATTGATATAAGGAACTGAGATCTTCAAAACAGGCATACAGGCAATCCTCTTATGACCAGTTGTTAAGTGAGTTTTGCCCCATTTTACGAACTTTCCTGCCTCAGTTGTTAAGCGAATCACTGAAGTTGTTAAATAAGGAACACTGTTGTAAAGATAATCTGAGTTTGCAAAACTCAGGTGATCACAGGACCCTGGGACAGTGCAACCGTCATAAATCTGAGCCAGTGGCCAAGTGTCTGAATTTTGATCATGTGACCTTGGGGAATGCTGTAACGGTCGTAAGTGTGAAAACAGGTCCTAAGTCACTTTTTCCAATGCCGTCGTAACTTTGAATGGTTACTAAATGAATTGTGGTAAGTTGAGTACTATCTGTTTATATAGTATAGTTCAATGGAATTAATTTGAACCCACCCCCCAGTATTCAATTTCATAAATTTCTATTACAGAATAAATGCTATATCTTGAGATATTGAATAAAGTGATCCTGTTATATGATAATAGCCTTGTTCAAGCATAGCAGGGTTAATTGAATTATAGTTTACTGCAACCAAGAAATAGGATTGTGCTTTCATATAATCTTTTCCTTCTATCTTCCACCTTGATGAACTTTCAGCTGAGCTCTTTTCATGTTCTCATCAATTAATTTAAATTGTGATTTTAATCTATACCTGTGATTTATATGCTAGAACTGAAAAAAAAATGGATTGCAAACTTGGAGTATATAGTACAGTAGAATAGAACAGGAAGCATATAGATGCAGCAACACTTGCTGATGTATTGAAATGGTTAATTCAGAAGCAGATCAATGTTGAAACGCACAAGAACAGTGTCATTATTCAATCTGCCATACCAAAGCAGGCACCTAGTTGTCACCAGAAGGGTTTTATCCCACCTTCTGTCCAAATTATAAATCAAAACTTGCAGCTTTCTAGTTTCCAGAGGAATGGTACTGAGAGTGAACATTATCCACCAATCCATTTAGGATTGATTTATAGGTGCTTTGTTGGATTAACAGATCCTAACATGGCCTGATCAAAACTTTGAATTATTTTAGAGAGATACATTTGGAAGAGCTGTTTTAGATTCTCGTCAATATGATCTTTAATTAAGGGTAAGCCCGTTCAACTAGCATAACAAGGAGTTTGGAAAGGTTTCTCTTAAGTTGAAATTGAAATTGAAATTATCCGCTACTCTCGGACCATTTTTTCACCATTAGTCAAGATTAGTCAAGATGATCAAGTTTTTTTTCCCTTGTCTGCTGTTCTTTCCCAATAATTCAGGATAGGATACCAGCCAACAAGCTTTCCCAGTTGCATCAATTTATTTATTTTTGTATTTTTTATCAATCAATTTTTAGATTATTGTTTGACCTTTCTAACCCTACTTAATGATTCCCTACTTAAAACAGCAATTATTATCATGAAGGAAATTTGACTCACTAAGCTAGTATTGTTTATATCTTAACCATGTGATATAATTTGACTTCCATGGGTTATTAAAACAAAAATTCTTGAATTGAAATCCAAACATTCAGCATTTAAGATATTGCTCATATTGTCTGGCCTGTGGAATACTCATTTTAGAATGAATTCAAAACTAAATCTCTTCAATATTTAATCCTTTTTGCTCATGTTTCTGAATGGCATTTTCTATTAAAGGTCATAGAAAAGTCATCTATGCAAAAGACATTGCCACCCTTCGTTACAAAAAGAGCTACTGAACTTCTTACTGTAGAGTTTAATAGACTCTGAATGGAAATATTGTGAATGAGATCTTGCAAAGTACTTTCCATTGTGCCCTGTGCGTTTGGAAGTAATATTGCGCTGTTTCTTCAGTGTGATTAAATATGGAAACTGTTGCTTTTCTCATTGTCCAACTGGAGCATTTAATGAGTGCAATTAAATGGAAAAATTGCCTTTTTAACTGATGATAGTCCATTAGTGTCTGCGGCAGTTGAGAAAAGGATAGAAATGAATTATTAGAATGACAAATGAGTCGAAGTTACTAGAGTGATGGAGAGGTGTTATTTCCTTCCATGTAATCTTCAATTAGTTGTCTTGGTAAGAGGATGTTTTTCAAAAGGGTAATAGAGAAGTAATGAGATCAGTACGAGGTCAAACCCAGCCTTCTTTGTTTGACAGTTTGATTAATTTATTTCTTTCTGGCAGATCACTGTAAGGGCCTTTTGTCACGAAATATTTTTTCATGGGACTCTAATCCGACTGACTGTTTGGATCAAACCATATTCATTCGCTTTGCCTTATTTTTTTTTCAATTAATAGGATCCCAATGCAGTTCGAACATTTTAAAAAATACTTTCATTTTATTCAAGCTTCAAGCACTAATAAATAAAACAGATTTAGAGCAGTCTAGTCAGGAAGAGGATTACTTCCAGTGTGGATTAAACCCAGTGTACCTTTTTATCTGAACATGTGAAACTCAAAATGAATTTGATCTTTTGATCATCTTAAAGAAGCAATCTTGGTCTTAAATAAAATCTCTTTTTGGCTGGCTTGTGAATATGAAAGAAGTAAAATCATTGAATTGGCATAGTTTATAGGAATATGGTGCTTAATTAAGAATGACTGAGTAAATGAGAACATGTGGGCTACTTTCAAGATTTAACATCAGGGAAATTTTCTTAAAAATTAAAAAAGAATATTTCTGAAAGCATTTCAATTTTTGCTGAAAATAAAATAGTATTATGAGTATTTAGTTGACAAGTAGCAAAGTACAACATATATAATTTCTAGAAAGAAACAAAAAAGTGCATTCTTAAGTATAGGAGCCAAATTTCATTGCTATTAGCCAACAAAGTTTTAAGTGGCTACGTTCAGGAAAAGACTGCTAAGCAACTGCTGTTTTGTTATTTGGTGACATGTCTCTAGAGAAGATGGAATTGCTCAGATATTAATATGAGATATTTGTGAAATATTGAGGAAATGTTAAAGACACAAACAATATGTGATGTGTTAAACCTAATTACAAGAAAGGCATGAAAATTAAAAGATGTCATCCTGATCTGTTTTTTTTTTAAAAAAATTATCTCCAATATTTCCTTATTTCGTTAATTCAGATAGGTTGGTGTTTCTTCAAAGAGTGAAAGAAAGATTGGCATTAAATTGAAGAAACCATTCATGTACTAAACAAGTTAATGTGTTTCCACTCCTAAAGATTCAAATATAGATTTTCTTTAATTGTAGTATTTCAGCATTGCATTCCTGTTTTCAGCCAAAGTATTGGGTCATATTTGAAAACCAACTGAAAAAGCAATATGACTGTACAAAAATATATTCAGCCTATCTTGAAACTTGTTGTGATGACCCAGAGTGTACACAAATGTAACAAAATCCAAAATGTAAATAAATGTTCTTTAATGCCTCCAATTTGTCCCCACTATTCAATAATACTCAGTTGGAGATAAAACGTACTCAAAAATAGTCTTTGAAAGAAAGCAAAACAGTCCGAATTTAATGAGCAAATTGAGGTGAAATAAAAAACCAAACAAGCTACAATGATGAAATTTCCACAACGGAACAAGAGAAGTATTTACCAAATTCAAGGAGATAACAAGGCACAGTCTGTTGGAAGGATGCCAACCAGGATAACTTCAGACCAAAATAAAACATGCTTTGTTTCCAGCATTTGCCAGTACGCAAGTCCAAACTTTTATTCAGTTGTCACACCTGCATCCCATCAAGAGGAGGATCAAGGCCCTCTCCTCCTGAGGAGACCACGTCTCTCCCTTATCCTCTCCCCCCTGCGTGCCCTATGATGGATAGGGGATGGGCCTGGGTCCTTCCCCAGCCTCCTCCACAACCTCCAGAGCCACACTTCCACTGCCTTTCAGAGTCAGTCTCCACCAGGGGCATGACACTTGTAAATATAATTTTTTTGTTGGCAATCTAGTAAAAGTGCATCTTATTTGCTGTGCTTTCATTTACCTGAAACTTATTTGCTGTTTCCTCTTAGGGTTTTTAATATTCTTAGAATAATACCATGATTTTTATCTTATGACTTATCTTTTATCTTATAACCATAACCTTTTGCCCTTGCAACTGTATATTTAACTAGATAGTCTTTTTTTCAGAATTTATAGGGAATATACATACTGAAAGATAAACCTCATTGGAAAGTGATTTTTTGCAAATGAGTTTTTTGAAATGATTGAGATGAAGAAAAGGAGAAAAAGAAGAGATTCGAAGTTTCAAGATTTTCAATAAAAAAAAAACAACACAAAAAAACCCAAAGCCACCCCACTTCTATTCATTTAAGGTGCAGAGAAGGATGATCCACTGATTAGCTGATATGTTTGCTATGGGTGATACAGAGTTAATAATAAGAACATTTCATTGTGGTCTTTCTGATTTTCGATGGACCACATTTAGGGTTTATTTTGAGTGCCATGATTAATACTTTGCAGTGAGCATGAGCCTAACATCTCCCCAAATATCAGGGCCAAGGAAATATGGTTATTCTCGCTTTTAGACTGACCGCAGTCCTTTGAACTCAAAACTGTATTATGTGATCATGTTTATTATAATGGTATCTGGGAATGACATTGAGAGACAGGGGGAAGAGCTTCAAACTAGATGACAGTCAGACAGACAGCTGAATCTAGAGAAGGAATTTTTCTTGGACTGTAAAGGTGGTGTGTGTGTGTGTGTGTGTGTGTAAATAAATGTGTTTTCATACTTGAAAGATTAATGTTGATTTTGCAAAGTAGTCCAGACAAAAAGTATATCAGAAATACCATCTTTAACTTTATTGTAATATAACATTAACAGAATCTTGTCCAGGAAAAGCATCAACCTTTCCAGCAAAATGATAGTAGTAATTGGTTCCATTACCACTTGCTTTGACCTATCTGTATAGATTATTTAGACTTTAATGAACAATAAAATCCATGTTACTTTCTCCTGTAGTTTTATTTACTACTGGTTATTTTCCTCTACAAATAGGTGTCTCCCAGCCTGTAGTGGTCACTTTTTAAGAAGGAAAGAAGCAAGAAGACAAAAGTAGAAACGATCTGTAGTACAACCTGAATTCTTTTTATGTGTTTCTGGATCCTTCCTGCCCAAAACGCAGAACATCATATTGGCTACTTCAAGTAGTTCAATTTCTTTGGCCGAGTCTCTTACAAAGGTGTCTTGTGATCTAATAAGCAGAAAGGCTTTCTGCCACAATAAATGACCACATTCAAAGTCATTTTGATGGATGTGTGAACACAAAATAAAATTAAAAGAATAAAATGCAGAGCTGAAATTCCCCTTTGTCTGCATCTGTGGTTCTGTCACTTAAGTATTGAAAAATTATTTTAAGATGTTGGCGATTGAGCTTGCCATATGCTGATTTTTCCCTCTCAAATACATATTTCATGAGAAAGCTCTTGCTTTCTTGTGTCAGTGTGTTTGTTAATTTACATACTGTAACCCAATGTAGACTAAAAGTTTTAAAAAAAAGAAGAAGAAAGAAATGGACTTTGCTTTTCTTAGCTTTCATTATTCTTGCAGGGTTGAACGGTGAAAATATTTAGAAGACGTGACTGTTGTAATATCTTTGCCTTAGAAAAGAGTGGGTCTGTTATCTTTTTAATTTGGGACATTATATGATTTATGTACAGTAAATATTTCATGCACTTTGCGTTTGACTTTGTAGAGGAATGTAAATGGAAAGTAAATCCATGTGTACTTTAAGACAGTAAAAAGGCATTACTTGATGTTAGACTCCATAAACATGCAGATTTGATTCCCTTTTTTCTTTTTACAACAGGAGTAAAGTTAAGCCTTACCTGGAAATGTAAATGCACTAGCCCTAATGTAATGCCGAAGAAAAATTAAGACAAATGATACTGCATCTCTGCCACAAACTGCAGCTCGTACAAAATTCACTTTAGTTATTATACTGTGAATACATGAACTGAACCCTCCTCTGTGTATGCACAATTTATGTTGAATGCAACATGAATCATTTTAATAGACCAAGCAAAAACTCCCCAAAGTCAATTTTCAAATTATGAACCTTGGAACTGGAATATAACAACAAGGAATTGAGGCTTTATTCTGAACTATGGATGAACTGTTAAGAAACCTTATGGATGTACCTTCTTCCTTCACTTGTGTGAACACAATTCTTGTAATTGTTTGAAAGAATCATATGCCTGTTCCTATAGAACAGTCTGGACAATTGTTAAAAGCAACAATAGATTACAGCATGTAGAAATGAGTAATAAACCTTTACATGGTGCAATGTACAAACTTAAACATCATCTCTACTCCATCTTCCTTGAGTTACATTACTTGTCTTATCCTAGATGCCATTAGCTGGCTGAACAGACAGATAAAAATCACCTGAGGCCTGCAGGAGAAATCAGTAATGCCAGGTTTTAGCAGAATAAATTACAAGAAGTGAGAATATCTAAAGTTCAAGGCTGAACTGTGGAATCCTTGGTGCTCTCGGAAATTGTTTGTAGATGTTTGATTACCCAACTAGTTAACATCATCAATGTGAGTGAAACTGTGGGTTTGCTATAGAGTAAGCTAGCGTGATTAGCTCAGTTAAGAATGTCAAATTAGATAGATATGTTAGGGACAACATACAAAGATATAAAAAACACATTGCACAACCAATGACTTTGAATGCTTCCTGATGGCTGACCTTCTGTCTTATTATGAAAAAGAAGGGTATTGTCAGCTACTGAAATTTTCCCATTCAACCGAAAGAATGAACTTCTGGAAACGAGATGTTTCAAAAGGAATCCTTTATTGAGATGAGACAATTCAAATAGGGTTTCAAAGCAGAGTCTAACGGCTCCCAGGCATGCAGTGATAGATAAGGGAAGTTAGGACCCTTATCTTGATGTGTATTTTGTCAAAACAAAGAACCAACATGTTAATTCCCCCTGTCCTCCTCTGGGAACGATCTTTTGAAGAGTTCTTAGGAAGTATCTTCCGGAGCTGGAATTTTTATGGTCCTTTCTCCCCTTGCTGTCTCTTCCAGAGGTGACAAGTTTCTGGGGCATCTGGCTCCAGTCCTTCAGTTGTATATCATGTGTAGGTTATACAAATTCAATATAAGATTTAATATATTCAGGTTACATCAAAAAGGATTTCTTTACCAACTTCCCTCCCGCCTTCTTCCACTGAAGAATGGCAGATACACGGATCTGTCAGTTATTCCCCAACCTAATTAGAGCTGCACCAAAGGAGATAAAACCTCATAATTTGGAAACTCTTTTATTTCATTTACAAACCAGATTCCTAAAGGGGCTGATCCTCATCACACCTTTTTGTAATCTCAGATTTCTGTGAGGATGGGGAAATGGAAATCCTGTGAGGAGTTCCTTCTCCAATTCATAGGATTATGGCAAGCTTGTGTATGGGACATGGACCTTTCATTGAGGAATCAGTCTGCCTTGTCAGAGTTTTGGGCTCTGTTGGAAGCGACTAGTGCTATTAATTCAGCCATTTAAAAATGTTTTCCCATGAACAGTTATTACTACAGTTATCCAAGCAATTAAGAAATATGAAACAAATAAATATTTAGAAAATTATAATATTTCTAATATCATTGAAATTTAAGCAGAATAGGCAAAAAAAGGATGTTAGATATGAAATGGATGTGGGCACCAGGGGCAAAATATCATTCGGTACAGAGATTGACCTCTCAGCTAATACGTTTCCATGATCAGTTGTTTTTTGGGGGGTGAATGTAGTCTATGACTGATCCTGAAAGACAAAACAATAACGCATAACACTACACGAAGTCTATATTTAATAGAATTAAGTTGCAACACACCAAATATGCATTCAGCTTACCCAGAAATATTATTTCCAAAGTCTGTTCAGAGAATTGGTGCATTACATCCCAGTGAATAGATCTTCTAAAGAGTGTTTGACTTTTGCATCGTGCTTTTTGATAAGGCATCTCATTTGAACCAAGTCACATTTGGTGATAGCAGTATTTCAGTTATTGTTCTTAACTTTCTTGTTCTGTCAAAAAAAGCAATAATAGTAATAATAATAATAAAAAACCTACTGTGGTTTTTTTTTTTTTTGAAGATTAGTATCTGCTCATGATGTTTCTCGCAGTTGATTCCAGTGATATTTTTGTCTTCTTTTTGTTTCTGTTTTTATATCTTTAGAACAGTCATATTAATTTTCCAGCAGCTGTTCTCTACTGTTATGTGCATAAGCCAACACCTGTGGGTGAATAAGACAGATATATGTATATGTTGTAAAAAGAATTTTCAAACTTTGGCATATGTGTGTGTATGTGTGTGTGTATATATCCACAGATCTTCATACTTAATGCCCTATTGATTCAGTGCATAGTAGAAACAGATTGAAGCCTTTTTTTTCAAAGCAGAAATAAGTCACCTTACAGTAAGTGAATCTTAAAAAAATAAATATATAACATATTTTGACAGTATCATTATCTGTAAGATGAACAACCAAAAGTATTTGTGATATAGGCTATTGTTAAATTTTATGCTTGTAGTGTGAGAAGCATCTCGTTTTCACCGGAGTGTGTGCATTTAAACCTTTAGTTTTTATTTTTTGCAAACAGCATCGCTGAAACATTAAAATAAATAGCTGTGCTGGTACAGCTAATTAGGAAAAAAAAGAAGCTATATTCAAAAGAAGTCTACTGGGGCAATTTGGAATTAAAAACTAATTTAGAATCTCTAATAACTTTAAGCATTGAACACTACAATTTGGGCTACGCATAGCAAAATGCTTTGTTTACGTGATTGTAATTGGATCATTGGAATCCACTGTGCATAGAATATAATTGGCTGAGTAAAGAAGCACATCATTCTGATCTTCTCTGGCCTTTTAGGCTAATAGAGGAAATCTTGAAGTTCCTAATGAGATACCTTGCAGTCTTGTATCTCCTGTGGTTGGTTTGTATTTCACACTAAGCCATCATCTGGTCTGTTTGGTGTTGTATAACATGGGGTTAAGCCAGGTATTGCAGTTTGCACAAATTGATGTATTATAAAGCATATAATAAGAATCCAACAAATTTGCTGATTTTTTGACAGACCATATAAATTAACTTTGACAACATGATGTGTGAATCCAAAATGCTTGAGAAACATAGTGTATTTCATTTTACAAACTTCGTAATTTTGAGGCATTTTCCAATTTTGTGCAATAAAATAGAAAATGCCCTCTAAGCCACAGAACCACAACAAGTTCTTGTTTCAGTTTTAAAGGAAGTAAATTGCCCCATGACACTGTTTTTATTCAATTATTTCTACAAGGAACACTAGATTTTGTTTTCCATTTACCTATTTATGTTAATAGGCAGCTTGGATATGGTGGGTAATAATTCAATTTCCAGGAGAGGGATAGAATTCCTGCCCAACTTTTTTTTTTTACAGAGTTTTCCAGAAAACTTTGTAGACTCACTTGCATTACAATACCATATACAGAAGTGTTGCACATGTCTTTTTCTAATTTACGTAACAGTTAATGTAAATTGTTCAAAAGCATTACTTTAAATTCAAATCACCCTGATTTAAGTCTTTGACACATGCACATGATTAATGCTTTTAATATGCAAAATCTTTAACCAAGAATTAAATATAAGTGGTATCTGCAAGCAGTATTCAATCATGTGTCATCTGAGGTTGAAGGAGGCGTTTCCTCCACTTTATTGCACTGAAAAGTGGTAACCAGTTAGTCCTTGACTTATAACCATTCGTTTATTGACGGTTCTTGCGCTTATAACCAGTGCAGCATCCCCATGGTCACTTGACCCAAATTTGGCATACTTGGCAACCAGCATGTAGTTATAATGATTGCAGTGTGATTATTTACAGCCAATCTCCATGGAGCAAAGCTAGATTCAGTTATTGACTATGTGATTCAGTTAACAAATGCATTGATTCTCTGAACCCACCATGGCAGAAGTTGTAAAATGAGGCACAACTCATCTAACAACCGCCTTGCTTAGCAATGGAAATTCTTGCACCAGTTGTAGTCCTAAGTTCACTACCTCTGAGACGGTTTCCAAATCTGCTTCTGGTGGATTTTGCGCGACCATTCTTTAACTTCCCTTTCTAATTTATATTATATAGTCACACACTGCATGGAAACATAGGAACCTTAGCGTGGTACAAAAATAACTTTTCTGATTTATGAAAGAGTTCATAGTTTTAAATTTCTAGGAACTCATATTTCCGACAAACTTACTTGGTCGGTCCACACTATGGCCACTGCAAAGAAGGCCCAACAGCACCTGCACTTTCCGAGATTGCTGAAAAAAAGTGGTCTGGATGAGAAGTTGCTGGTTACTTTTTACCGTTCTACCGTCGAGAGCATTTTGGCATACTGTGTAATGGTGTGGTATGCTGGATGCTCTGCAGTGGATAAGAAGATGCTCCAGAGAGTTATAAACACAACACAAAAAATCATCGGTTGCTCTCTTTCTTCTTTGGAAGAGATTGCGAAGACCAGACTCCTCTGTAGAACACAAAAAATCTGCACAGACCGTTCTCATCCTGGTCATTCATATTTCGATCTGTTACTATCAGGGAGGCGTTATAGGTGTCTTAAAATGAGGACTAAT